AGCCTACACAGAACTTTCTTTAAATGGCAGCTTGATCCCCCCTCCTTGTCTCTTGTCTCATTCATTCCAGGTTCCCCTGGGCTCGAACCCGTTGTGCCCTGCTGGCGAGAGCACAAAACATTAAATAGCATCAGTTTGTCTTGATGACACCTCAAACTGTCTGCTACAATTGCTACATCTGTTTCTAATGTAATGTATATGAGAAGAGTTAAGTATATTTCTACTCTATAACTATTTGAGCATATAATGACTACATATTTCTTTTATAGAAAATATGCTACATCATTTTGCATTAATTGTGATGCTTAATTAGATGGTTATCGTATTCTTTGTCTCATTTTCTATTTTGTGCTATATGGAGGCTTTTAGTAAATATCTTTGTTCTAGTTTAATGAAGGAAGTTAAGAAACTCTTTGTATCAATGTATATGTGTACATGCATGACATATTACTTTTTCTCCTGCTATAATAAAATACCATGACGAAAGGTACTTATGGAAGGATGGATTTATTTTGCCTTATGGTTCCAGAGGGATAACAGTTCCTAGTAGGAAGTATGGTAGCAAGCATCAAGCATGGTGCCTGTAACAGGAAATTGAGAGATTACACCTTTAAACACAAGAAGAAAGGGTAAACTAGAAATATGATGAGGCTATCCAAACTCAAAGCCTATCAACAATGACATACTTCCTCCATTTAAGAGGTTGTAGCTCTTAAACCTCCTAAACCAACAACTGAGAATCAAGTGTTCAAACATCTGGGCCTGAGTGGAGGGCGGGGCATTCTCATTCAAACCACTGCATTATCTCACCCAAGAAAGTGGTCTTCCCGCTCTTAGCAGAGCACCTCAAGCATATTCCTCCCAGTATTGCTTTCTCCATCCTTGCCTGAGAGAACTGACCATCTATTGTACACAGAACTCAAAATTACCTTCCTCAAAGGAATAATAGCACGACAATACAGATGTCCCTTGGTGCTTACTAAGTGTAGACTGTAGACCATTAAGGAGAATAAATAGGCCCCTTAAAGTGAGGTCTGTGAGGTGCTCTATACTACTAATGAATTAAATGAACTTTCTAGTTCATTCAAGTGTAGTTCCAGGGACTGCCCTTGGGAGTGTATCTGAACATTGTAGGATAGTGGTAGAAGGAACATAAAACTGGATGAGGCTTGATATTGGCCCACTGAGTAGTGATTTTAGGTTTAATGTGGAAGTTTGCACAGTTTAAAAAGGCTACCAAAGGTTCATATGGTTGGTAGGCTGTTGTATTTCTCAAATGATATTATACTTAAAGGGAACTGGGCACAATGCTATATCTTGGCTTATTGTTGTTGGCTTTTAAGACTCAACGATTTAGAATGCTGGAGTAGATAAACTGTGTAAAATCTAATCCCTCGCTGTGTGAGGGCCAAGAATATATTCTTTATTACAAGAATATATACTCTATTACAGAAAAAAGTGAGTGGGTAACATGGGAAATGTAACACAGATAATGCTGATAGGGGCACTGGCACATTTGAAGAACTTTGTTGACTCTTTTCCTTGTGTCAGACCCTAGGTCTGAAGATATTGCTGCTTAATGGATAAACTAATTGTAATGGGTTTAATTGGACACCTGAGATGCAGAGGCAAGACAAGCATAGGTATTGGAATGGACAGCACAGACAAAGAAATTTATGTAAAATTCTGACCCATAGGAACCTTCGGTACTGGCTAATGAAACATGGGGTTACTAGGGACACAATATATGGGAGCCTGTAACATGTTTGTTTCATCCAGGTAAGCATAAAATCTCTGAAAAGATGCAAGAAAGGATAAATTGAATTGTTGAAGGAAGGAATCTCTGCTTTCTAATTTCTAGATCTGAGCCAGTTAGGAAATCGAGAACTCTTTGAAGTAAGGGAAGGCCAGGATCCATGAGTTAGGATTGTTTTAGCATGCTGAAGAGTTTTATTATTAGCTTTTGTTCTATCCTTTTCTAGAAAAGCCTATGGCCTTTTATTAGAGTAACTATGCATTGAGGAAAAATAAACAATTAGGTTTGCATGGCCTATTGGATATTGAATTTTAATTGATACTGATTCCAAGAAACTCACAAACGTAGGCTGCTTGCAAATGGTGGAGAAAAAAAATGGCTAACACAGAAATGTAGTTATAAATACTGAACAAGATTCAGTTTCAGAAATGATTGTAATTGATATGATTTTCTATCATATTAACTTAAAATCATGCTTGCTTGTATACACAGGTATTTGTGATTTCTTTCCTCTATTTCTTTATCATGGATTATAACATCTATTGAGATAATATCATTGGTTAAGTTTTGTAAATCTATATTATCATATTTAAATAGAAAGACACTAAATGTCTTAACATTCTTCCAGGGGCTTTGTTAGCTAGTCTAAAATAGATAATGCACTTACAGTTTTGCATGGGATAGATATAGAATGTTACGTGTAATTATGACCTGATTATTGCTTTCATTTGGAAATAAGTATGACTTAAGGAAATGTAGCTATGTGCCATGTGAACAAGAGGTGGATTTGTAATGCCTAAATTTGGTGTCAAATTGACGGCATCAGGAATCAACTGATTTGTAAGCATCAGGACAGTCTGTGAGTAGTTTCTCAATCAGGTATTTGGGACAGGAAGACCCATCTTAAATATGGGATGCACCTTATGGTGGTAGCTTAAATAAGTGGACATGGAAGGACATTTTACATTTTGCCCATGTGGTCTAATTCTTGCTGGTAAATTTTCCTTTCCTGTTGATGTGACTTCTCTTCTCTAATATTTGTTAGAACCTACTTTGAGATTCCAAGGTAAACTCAAACCAGAAGCTTTGTAGGATTTTCCATACTTCCAGCTCCTAAGTAGAAAAGCTGAGACTTCTAATTTTGTGTATTGAGCAATATCTATACTCTAGGCCTCTCCAGTGAGAGACAGCCATTATTTAACTGCCAATATATATTACCTAAGTCACACAAATAAATTCCCTTCTAATACATTCATTCATTCTCTCTGTTCTGGTCCTTTCAAGAACCTTAGGATATATTTGCATGCATTTTTAGATCTGCTGATGAACTTTTCTTTATTCTTTGGCAGTGTGAAATGATGGTAAATAATATTTTACATTCAGGACACTTAGGAACAGCCCTTTTCATCCTACATATCCCCCTTTTCAGACACTTTTGTAAAGAGAACTGGTGCTGTTAAGTATAGTATGGATAATCATTCTATTAAATTTCACTATTGTTCTATTGTCTTTCTCAGTAATGTGTAGATTTCCTATTTATTAGGCATTCGGCTAATTGTGTTGCAACTATAATTATATTAATAATTATCCAATAAATTAACAGATTGACAAGAATTTAATTACTTTAGTTTTTAAATTGTCCACTGCCAGTATAACCTACAGCATACTATTTTTCAAAAATTTAAAAACATAACAAAGTTATTTTTAAAGAAAAGAGACTTATTGCTTTAGTTCTTATAACTCAAAATTTGAATATTAATTTGTCAGGGACCTCCAGCCATCAGTCAGCTAGGCTGTATCACGTACTCACAGAGAAGACGTGACACTAAGACCACCCTGCCACCCCTTCTGACATAAAGCATATTCCAAGTAACAAGCCTGGGGTTTACCAGTCAGTTAAAGATTAGCTTAATTGGAAAAACTACAAGGTCCTCAGAAGATAGGCCTGAGCAGTAGTAAATTGTAATAGATAGGATCGGACCCTGCTGTCAGGTTAACAAGCAACATAGGAATTCTTACCCCTGACCTCTTGCCCTGTAGATTAGGTAGCCAGGCAACGCAGCAGACCACCTCTCCCACTGACCTCTTGCCCCTGCAGCTGCAAGCACATCCTCCGCCTTCCCCTCCTCAGTTCTCCTATATAAATCCCCTTGTGATGAAATAAAGTTGTTGCCTTGATCAGAATCCTGTCTTGGTGTCCATTCCTGTATCCCCTGTCCTCCATCTTTCTCCTAGGTGTCCACCAGACCCACGTTGAATGTCCTGGGGGTCGGGACATTAATTCACTAAAAATAACATTTTCAGTATATAAATAATTGATAAAAATAGAAACAGCTGACCTGACAAAGGTTAACTCTTGAATCTCAGGCATCAGTCTGGGAATCCAGCATGGGACTGATCAAGACCCCCCTGAATAGGGGTGTCAGTGAGGAGGCCTAGGTAATCTATTGAGCCTTGGGCAGCAGATCAGTACTCATCCCGAGTATACACACAGACTTTGGACTACCATCCAACAATGTGAGGTGCACTCTCATCCTGAACTCTTGGGGGAGGGTCTAGGCCCTGCCCTGTATGAAATGACAGACTATGGACACCCCCATGGAGGGCCTCACCCTCCCTGGGGAAATGAGGGGATAATGGGGGGGTTGGGGGGGAGGGCACAGGAGTAGGGGAGGGAAAGGGAGAGGGACCTGGAACTGACTTGTGAAGCAACCTTGTTTCTTATCTAAATTAATACTGAAAAAAAACTAAAAAATAAATAATGTTCTAAAATGCCTAGATTAGCTATACTTGCTTTTTTATAATCTAAGGCATACTTATTTGTCATATTTTGAGACATGAATAAAAAAACTACCTAAATTAGGCAATAGCTCTATGACTTCATTTAATCTTATAGAAATAGTTCCTCATGTATTAACCATAGAGTGGCCTGATGTGATGTAGAGTTTAGATTTCCATACATTTAATGTATCAGTATTTTAAATCAACCATTTGTTTTACCTGTGAATCTATAAAGGTACAATATTCAAGAGTTCCTATACCCTGATTTCTGCTGTCCACACCTCACAGCACAGTGTTGAGGCAAAGGATTTTCTCTTAGGAGTCCCATGTTTTCTTTGGCTGTGGAATTCTTGAATGGGACCTGCTTTATATGACAAGTTGAATTCAGGAAAATGATGCCTGAAGCGTGTTTTCTTATGCAGGATAGCAAGCTTGTTTGATTTTCAACAGTACATGAAATTCCTTGTGTTTGTGATGGTCATATTTTATTTCACTATAACTTTTCCCATATATACTATGGCTCTTATTTTTATATTCACTCTTACCTCTCTATACATGACTAGACAAATTTTGTTGTTTTACAATTTCATATTAACACTAGGTTTATAAATAAATTGTAGGACACACTGTATAAACTATGACATTCAGTGCTTCAAAATCCCATTCAGTTTTTCAAGGTGCATATATATATATATATATATATATATATATATATGTATGTATGTATACATGTATATTTCTGAAAATATGGTAGTGAATAAAAACAGAGAATGCACTTGCTAGGTAAAAACTGTGACGATGTTCAGGAAAGTAAGATCAGAACAGCATGTTGTATTAATATACACATAATTCTCAAAGTTCATATTCTGTAAATTAAGAAAACAACTTCTAATTACTTGGTTCTGAAATATTAGGTAAAATACTAAGTGAAAGATGTGAAGAATCAATATTCCCCTCTGACATTTCTCTCTCTGTTGTATAATAGCATTCTTGATATATGTGGAGAGAGCTACTGGTATTTTTGCCTTCATCTACAGGAAAATGAACATTCTATAAAGGGTAAATCTATTAATTAGAGTCCCATACAACTCTCTTTCTTGCTAGTGTAATCGTTAAATTGATTTTTCCAGTCCATCATATAATTGCTCCAGCGATGAAATCCTGCTTTCCACTCTTGTTCTGTTTCATCAATATTTCCTGTAAAACATGGAATACTATGCATTAATCTAGAGTTTATCTCTGTTTACATCTCCTGAAAAATAATTCTAATTATAGATGACATTTTCTCCAGTTATATGGCATAGCGACATTTTATTTTTTGTTATGTATTAACAACTTCTATATTTTAATAATATTTTATGCAACTGAAGTTATACAACTGAAGAATAATACAACTGAAGTGTATAATAAATGAAAATATAAATTATATTGTGAAAATTTATACTATGCATTCTTTCATTATTTTCCCTGAAGACATGCAGATATTGCTTTTATTAATGAACTCTTTAAACATTACAAAAACCTCATAATACAAACCATACATATATAAAGACACTGGGGTATTATCTTCATTCAAAGTATTAATATATGTAAATGTAAATATCTACTAATCTATAAAGATAATATTGTAAGTATCATTCCATTCAGATTTTTGCAATCATTAAAATACATTTTCATTCCATATGATGCTCACTTGTTTACACCGTTGACCATGAAAAAGCTTAATATTTCCTTTGTTAAAACAGAAAGATAGCTAAGAAAATATTGGCCTTCAAGTAACTTGGAGATTTCATCTGATGATTACACCATTAATCATTTTTCCACAAGTATACATTTATTAGTGTGAAAGGGAAAAAATAAAAATGGAATGGCTAACAATATAAACTTCCAGCATTTAGAAAAGTCAAAAAGAAAGTAGAAGGCAATAAATTTATAATAAATATTGACAAATATCACTTAATGTTGAAGTAGCATTTTCCTCAATATAAGGGTATATGTATGTTTTCTATTTATTGTTAGAAAGAATTCTGACTTAGAGAGATAATTATAAATAGTAATATCATTTCCTCATTTTCTGTTAAACTGATGATATGTTGTGACTTGTACATTGTGATCTGAGAGGGCATCATAATATATTATGGAATACCTACTTTTTGTGAAGAGGTGTAAGCCTATTGAAGAGCCTTCACCAGAGTTTAGTGTAAAGAGTATTTGTAATGATCCTCTCTGCTCATGCCCTATAATGTTCCCTAAGTAGATTTATACATAGGAAAATAAACTTGTTTCTTTTGTGACATGATGCACCGTGAAACAAAGCATACTTATCCATTATCTTCAGTTTGTCACTCTCAACAATATACATAAAATAAAGAAATGCAGAACACTGAAAAACCTACACAAATATGCAACACAAATTAAAGAAAAAAATCTTACAGATATGAATAACAGCCATAGAACTAATCAGGGACAAGAACTTTGAAACAGGACACTAAGAATAAGATAAGAATCATCAATATCCACAAAAATAACAGTTCTTGTGATTTTTCCAGAAAAGATCATATTGAAATCTATGAAATAAATTATAAATTATTTATAAAATTGTAAATGATATTAGGCAGAGACATTAAAAGCAGAATTTTAGGCATCTGTGTTATTTCTTGAATAAAAAAATACCAAATACCAATCAGACACACATTTAACATAAAATATTTTTATACTATAACACTGGAATATGTTTTAAAAGTAAATATACATGAAATATAAAGTATGATGAGTAAAAATAACAAAGCTAGCATGTTCTATAGGAGCAGGCGAACAGAAGCAGCGCGGCCTGAGGAATGAAGTGACCATGGGGATGTGTCATCATGCAGAACCGAAGAGCCTTAGCGTGCGGTGAAAGCTAATACATCCAGGAGTCACCAACCAGGACCTGTCAGACCTCCGCTTGAAATTACTGAGAAGCTGTGCTTAAGATAGAATTTAAATTCCTTAGCATGGTGCACAGGACGCTTCATCCCGCGTCCCTGGTTATCTGGCTCCTCTCTCCAGGATGCCTTCCTATTAAGATTCAGTGCAGGTGTCTTCTCTTAATAGCTTTCCACGATCCTGGACCGTGCCTCTGCCAATTCCCTGTGAATGAACATGCGTCATTCTTATGAGAGGCTTTATGGAGAGCACAGTCCCTTCCTAGGACTCAAGAACAGAGCACACTCTCTGTAAACAGTTATCGTATTAACTGATGAAAATGAAAATAAGGGAAATCATGTTTCTATCTAGTATCCGGTTATGCTATCCAAAATTGTGCAAGAATTTGTTAAATGAAATCTGTGTGGAGATAGTAATATACTTGAATATACTAGTTTTTTAGAAAGTATTTATCTCTTTCCAACTTTTAACATTTTGTGCATAGTTTATGATGTAACTTTTTGTTTTGGATATATTTTATATATTTTGTATTAATCAATCTCTTATTTTTGAAAATACATTTAATTTCTAAGTTATAATATAATCATACCACTGCGCGCTTCCCTTTGCTTCCTCCAGACACTCCCAAATGCACCTCCTTGCTAGTTTTCAAATTCATGGCCTCTTTTTTCATTAAATGTTATATACAAGTATTTATATACTGCTAGCTGCTACCTAGCTACCCACCAGAAAAGATCATATTGAAATCTATGAAATAAATTATAAATTATTTATAAAATTGTAAATGATATTAGGCAGAGACATTAAAAGCAGAATTTTAGGCATCTGTGTTATTTCTTGTTTTTAGCAAGAATGTTAGGTGATATTTTGAAGAGTGTTATACTGGTAATACTCATACCAATATGCAAATTGACAGCATATTAATAACTTAAAATGGATGTAAAAACATTTTATACTAAACAGGAAAGAAAAAACTCAGTCTGATTAGAAAAGTATGAATAAAATTAAATTCAATGACATTAAAACTGTTCTTATGTAATATGACAAATAACAAATAATTCCATATTTATTTTGTAGACAGTAGCTGCCTAACAATAGCATACCAAATGAAAAGAAAACTTGAATATTTATAATAATTGAATAATAATCATAATTTGCATAAATGAATTCAACTTAAGGGACAATTTTGACCTGAGTATTTCCTAAAAACAGAAAAGTTCTCTATAAGTTAGCAATTTCCCTCTGAATTTTTTTTGTTTCATTACATGTACTTTATTGTTTTTGTGTTGAATAGTTACAGAAATAAATATTCTCACTAAAGAGTAAAAAGATTCATTTAAATAAACTCATCTAATTCAAGGTAAGAGTTATTTCTAAAGATAGATTATGTTTAAATGAGTGTTTATTGCCCCTAAGTCAGGTAAACTCATAAATCTTAATGTATTTCAAACACTTTGAAAATTATGGAAAAAATTTGTTGAAAGTGACAGTGTTACAGCACTACACAAATGCATATACTCACATAAACAGAGAATTTTACTTTTTGTGTCATTTTGATCCTTAAAGATATATATCTCAAACTCTTTTCTTTTTCTATAGCCATTTTTTTTATTCTTTTTTTAAAATTTAGATAAGAAACAAGGTTGCTTCACAAGTCAGTTCCAGGCCCCTCTCCCTTTCCCTCCTCCCGTGCCCTCCCCCATCCCCCCCCCCCCGTTATCCCCTCATTCCCCCAGGGAGGGTGAGGCCCTCCATGGGGGTGTCCATAGTCTGTCATTTCATATAGGGCAGGGCCTAGACCCTTCCCCAAGAGTTCAGGTTGAGAGTGCACCTCACATTGTTCTATGGGAGTCCAAAGTCCGTGTGTATACTTGGGATGGGTACTGATCTGCTGCCCAAGGCTCAATAGATTACCTAGGCCTCCTCACGGACACCCAAATTCAGGGGTCTTGATCAGTCCCATGCTGGATTCCCAGGCTAATGCCTGGGATTCAAGAGTTAACCTTTGTCTGGTCAGCAGTTTCTGGGGGTTAAACCAGCCCAGTCTTAATCCCTTTGATCATCAGTCCTCCCTCTCTGTTACTGGCTTTCTTGAGTTCAGCTCAGTACTTAACCGAGGGAGTCTGCCTCTTCTTCGATCAGCCGCTAAATGTAGTTTCTGTTTCCCAGACTCTCTGGCCATAGGATTGTAGGCTGGCACTCCCCAGATCTATGTCTAAAATCCACATATGAGAGAGTACATGCCATGTTTCTTTTTTTGTGACTGGGTTACCTCACTCAGGATGGTTTCTTCTAGTGTCATCCATTTGCCTGCGAATCTCATGATTCCATTATTTTTTTCTGCTGAATAGTACTCCATTGTGTAGATGTACCACATTTTCTCTATCCATTCTTCGGGTGAGGGACATCTAGGTTGCTTCCACGTTCTGGCTATTACAAATAAAGCTGCTATGAACATAGTGGAACAGACATCTTTGTTGTATGAATGGGCATCTTTTGGATATATGCCTAAGAGTGGAGTTGCTGGGTCCTGTGGTAGGTTTATTCCCATTTTTCTGAGGAATCTCCATACTGCTTTCCAAAGTGGCTGAACCAGTTGGCACTCCCACCAGCAATGGAGGAGTGTCCCCCTTTCACCACATCCTCTCCAGCATAAATTGTCATTGGTGTTTTTGATTTTAGCCATTCTGACAGGAGTGAGATGGTATCTCAGAGTTGTTTTGATTTGCATTTCCCGGATGGCTAAGGATGTTGAGCACTTTCTCAAGTGCCTCTCAGCCATTTTAGACTCCTCTATTGAAAACTCTCTATTTAGTTCTGCAGCCCACTTTTTAATTGGGTCCTTTGCTGTTTTGGAGACTTGCTTCTTGAGTTCTTTGTAAATTTTGGAGATCAACCCTCTGTCAGATGTGGGATTAGTGAATATTTTTTCCCATTCTGTGGGCTGCCTTTTTGTCTTGCTGACTGTGTCCTTTGCCTTACAGAAGCTTCTCAGTTTCAGTAGGTCCCATTTATTAATTGTTGATCTCACTGTCTGTGCTACTGGTGTTATGTTCAGGAAGCTGTCTCCTGTACCAATTCGTTCATGGGTACCACCCACTTTCTCTTCTATGAGGTTCAGTGTGGCTGGATTTATGTTGAGGTCTTTGATCCATTTGGACTTAAGTTTTGTGCATGGCGATAAACATGGATCGATCCGCATTCTTCTACATGCCAGTCTCCAATTATGCCAGCACCATTTGTTGAAGATGCTTTCTTTATTCCATTGTATA